AATATGTTAACATTTTTAAAATATCGCATTTATTAAGCAATTCTCATAATATCGCATTTATTAAGCAATTCTCATAATGAGGAGCAAAAGCAATGGGCTAGCACCAAGAGTCAACATTGGGGAATTTGCTATCATGAGAGAGCTTCCACCACACATTTTAGGTAATTTGCCCTCTTGTCAGGTTAATTTGAGAACAACCCTCCTTCTGTGTTTGTTTGCTCGTTTGAGTGAGATACCCTGGAAACATCATAAACTAAGCCTGGGAAAGGGCTATTCGGGCTACTATCAGGACAGGGTCCTTCCCCCTTACACTGGGCGCTACACAGAGGATGCCCACAAGGCAGCCCCTGATTCACAAGAAGCAACTCGTTCTCAGGAGTACTGTCTCACCAGTTTCCTCGTTAGGTTAATGTACTGTGGTTGTATGAGATGTCATCACTGGGGAAGCCAGTCAAAGGGTACACTCAAACATTCGGCACTATTTTTGAAATTTCTTGTGATTCTAAAATTATTTCAAAATTACAAGTTTTGGAGTTTTTTAAATGATATAATTGATAATACATCTATTTTGGCTTTGTTGGTGTTCCTCTGCTAAACCAGAAGCATCTAATTCCATGATTGGTGAGAGTGAAAGGGTATGAACAGGGGCACAAGGGAATGGCATCATAAAGAGTCATTAATATCACAGAAGTGCTTCATCCATCAGATCCTTTTCCAAAGTGACAAGCTGCTAAAAAAGGATGAGGTCCAAGAAAGACTTGATGGAAGGAGGATGCATAGAAGAAATGGATCAAGCACAGGTGGGTTTCCCAGGTGATAATCCTCTGAGAGTTCTAAAGAAACTCCGAGACAAGAGACTATTTATGAGGGCTCTTTGTGCCTAAGAAAGAGATGCCAGGAGGAAAAGCATGAAAGTAAGACACGATTTCTCCTATGTAATGACTTGGTAGGAATGGCACTGCCTATATCCAGTGCCATTCCTACCAAGTCATTACACTGCCTATATCAAGCTAAGGTATGCCCATGCATAATGGAATATCTTTGGGGTAGAAAGAAATGAGAGTCAGGGAATCTGGAGTCACATTCCAGGTGCATTCCTCTCACGTATTTATTGATCCCTGGGACAAGTCACTGATGGATTCAGTTTCCTCACCTGAAGGTCAGGGAATTGGGATTGGATTGCTAAGACCCCTAGCTCTCTGTCTCTGCCTCTGTCTAAGACTATTTAAGTCTTAGGCACACCTCTATTGATTTGATAAAAAATAAAATTTATTCGTGGGTAGCAACAAGTTTCCTACGAATTTTCCAATTCAAATGAACTCTTTAATGAGGGGAGTAGAAATAATATTGCCATTTTAGCACCAGGGACTATAAACTCAGAGTCAAAAAGCTCTCTTCACTCTCTCAGACTCATTCTCAACTGCGGATGGGCCTCAAAGATACAATGGTTTCCCAGCGGGGAAGCTGAGAGCAAGGAGTTGAGGCCTAATGTCAGAGCTCTCAGAGGACTGCTTTCCCCCAAGGAAATGCACTCCCTCAAATTGTTCAGAGTCCACTGAACCCTCCAGAACGTGCCCAAATCACAGAGAAGCAGTTTCTGAAGAGGTCAAAGTGGAGAAATTGGGGCTTGGAGGAGCCAAAACATGACACTGTGGGTTCTTTAGGAAGAAAGTAGGATTTATGTGTATAATACTCCTACTCTGCCATTTTCACATATTGAAACCCAGTAAAGTTTTTGTATTATTGGCATTTTTTAAAGTATGTGGTTAATTCAGTCCAGGCTTATGGTATGATTATGCAATAGGGTTTTAAACTGTGTTAATGCTTCATCAATCATATATACACTTTCCAGAGCTGATATTCACCACACCTTGTTTATGATTCTTAGGCCAAATTAAAAGGATTCTTTATGTGCTAATTGCTTTCCTTTCATTAAGGTGTTGTGCATGAATAATGAGCTATAATGGGTCGTGCTGGGTGTTAAAGCTGTAATAGTATCAATCAGCCACTGTGTGTTAGCCCACCTTCAAGTCACCCAGGATGTTCACCTTGCAAGCAGAATAATGAGAACTTCAGTATAACCTCTTATTTTCTAGAGATAATTTTCATTGCAATTAATTTGCTCAGTGTTATTTAGCACTATCCTTTAGTACAGTATGGAGCAAGGTAGTAAAGTTAGTCAACCTGAACTATCAAGACCAATATTTATGTCACTGTCAACACTACCGATAATTAAAAATAAAATTGAATGATTTTAGAAAAGTTTACCAGAATTTAGGTGAGTTGAACTCCCTCATTGGCCAATGAAAGACAGGTTCTTAGCTGGGTTTTGATTCTCTATTATACGTTTCCTTTCCCTCTTTCTTCACTCTCATTTCTTGCTTATTTATGAATAGTACTATATCATTTCCTCTGAACTATAACTGCCTCCCATTTAACCCTCCCAAACTCTCCTTCCTCTTAGTATCTTTCCTATTTTGCTCACCTCTCTGATCACTCATCCTGGCATTTATCTTTATCATAACCTTCATCCTATAGGGAATAGGAGAGAGGGCCTGACAGCAGAAAAACACTATGTGGAGAACTGTGTTTTACAAGATAACTCTGAGCTGCATTGTAAAAATATAGAAGTAGGGGAAAGCTCAGAAGAAAAAAAATTAAGAGGGAAATAGCAAGGGCCTGAATTAGGATAATAATGGCAGTAACGGATTTTTTGTTGTTGTTGTTAAATATGCTGAAAGACTAAATAGGATGTAGTACTTGGCTGTAGGACAGTGATAAAAAGGAGAGAATGAAAAACATATGAAGTTTTCTAACTGTGCTGATTGGTACAGATTGTTCCTTTAACAGAGATCACCAACTAAAGTATGAAGGAGTGGAGGTGTTCAGCTTTGGACATGCATTTAGGGGTGATGTCTAATATGCCAATGGACAATTAGTATTCTAAATGGGCAGGAAAACTTCTAGATTTAAAGAGAATGGACATAAAGAAAATCCTCCAACCATTTTCTCCTTTACTTCCTCTCTTCATTTTACTGAAACAAAATATGTGTTGAGAAGCTATTGCATGTCAAGGCCTAGGACAGGAATTAGTGAGAAAAAAAAATAAAGGACAGAAATAAAAAGAGTCTATTCAAAGTATTTTCTGGTGGGAGATGACACCATAATAATGGCATAAAGGGCTAGAATGAGGGGAGTGTTACCAGAGGAGGCTTCATGGGAGATGGCATTGATCAAGGATGGAGTGTGCATATTCAGGTTCTTTAAGTCACCTTATACCCGGAATAGGGAACAAACCCATGCTTGCCACTTCCCTTCACTGTCTGGACCTAGCTCTGGGGATCCAGGCAGGCTATAAAACAGAAGTCTTTCCAAAATACAGCCACATGGACTTCACTGTACTGCCCTCCTCTATATTCCTTCTGTGGAAGTAATACTGTGACTTCTTTGTGAGAGAACTTTTGTTAATCTACTTTTTTACATCTTGGTAACAAAGTATTTATGCCCAACTTGTGGAAGGCTATGCAACACTATGGTAGGAGTGAAAGTTTAATCCTCAACCCTGGGACCTCTCTGGAATCTCCCTACTACCGCCATAGAATATGGAGATCAAAGCATCTTCACAGCAATCAGAGTATTTTAAAATTCTGGCTGGCCAGCAATCCTACTTCTAAGCATTTATCCAAAGAGAAATGAAAACATATCCACAGAAAGACTTGCACAAGAATATTCACAGTTTTATTCATAACAGTCAAACACTAGAAATCACCCTAATGGCCAACAACTGCTGAATAGACAAACTGTGGTCTATCTATACACTGAAATACTACTCAGCATTAAGGAATGGACAACTGACACGACATGGATGAATCTCAAAAGCATTATACTGAGTGAAAGAAGTCAGACACGAAAGATTACACATTCTATGATTCCACTTATAGAAATTCTAGAGAAGAAAAACTATAGTTCCAGAAAGCAGATCTGGATGTGAAAGAGGCAGGGGAGTCAAGGAGGAAAGGGATTGCAAAGGGGTACAAGGGAATGTACACGGCAGTGGAAAATTTTACGTGATTGTGGTAGTGGTTACATTACTGTATAGATTTTTCAAAACTCATCAAATTTGGTAAATTTACATTATGTAGATTATATCTCAATAAAGCTAATTATTTTTTAAAAATCAGGCTGGGCTGAGGAGTAGGCCCATGTATTCCCAGCCAGAAGATGCCAGTGGCCCTCAGAAGCTGTCTGATCCAGCACTGGCTCAGCCCTCTGGCCTCTGCAGCCCTGAGAACTCCTCTGCTTTAATGCTTTAGCCACAGACCATGATCCCCCTGAATGCCTCAGACAAAGGCCCCCAATGACTCATGCTCTAAGACTCAGAGAATAAGTAACTTGCCAAAGTTATTTGACCTTCAGCCAGTATATAGTCTGGACATGCCTCTAGGATTATTTGATTTTCAAACTTTGATTAAAAAAAAAAAAAAAACCTCTGGAAATTGTACATAAACTGTGGTTTAAAGCTTAGTTTAATATTCGTAAGGTCTCAGCTTTGAGTCCTTTCTCAGTCACTTACAGGTTGTGTGGACCTTAGGCAAGTGAATTTCCCTCTACATTAGTTTTCTCACCTATAAAATGAAGAAAATAGATCCTATTTCACTGAGCTTTGAAAGGATCAAATAAGATAGTTCATACAAAAAAGCACAATAACTATTAGTTATTGGTATGATCTCAAATGCCGAGCTGGCACCAAATGGAATGCATACAACATATATGTACAAATATTGCTCTCAGCTATTCAGAGGTTGAATTTCCACACAATGGACCCCATTCGACCTCTCAATTAGTCCTGCCTTTCTTCAGTCTGTGTAGTAAAACTTTTCAATGTAGCAAACTTTTGAAAGTGTCTGCTGTTAATGAGTCTACAAGGACCATCCCTGCAGACCCAACTCTCTTGACCACAACTCCCAATTCCCAGACATCTTATTGCCTCCTTCACTCACCTGATCTGGATACTTGCTACCAACGATCTCTGCTACAGTGTTGAAGGAATTAGCATCTGGGTAGTTCTGTGCCCCCATCTTCAGCTGAATGATAATTCTGCTCCCACGAGAAACCATCCTTGACATCAATTCTGCATCTTCTACTGTAATACAGGCTGTTGGGATCTTTGGCACACCATCCTGGTATTCCTGAACACCTGTGTGAGGACTTGAGAAAATAAGCCACCAGGTTACCTTGAAAGCAGAAATGAACCACAAGTATATTTTAAGCATCTGTATCTGACATTTGACTTTCACTGAACTTTGTTCACATATGAGAAGTAGAACGAGTGGGAAATATTATTTTATTTGATTGTGATATGAACATAAGTTTTCTTTTTGGTAAAAATAACAGAAACTTCAACTTAATAATCACCTCATTGAAAACATTACATGAAATTTATTTTGATAATTTGGATGATCCTTTAAAGTTGCAAATTGCCTCAAACCTGGAAGAACATTAAGAGTATCTTCAGGACTAAGAGGTGAACACATGGGTTCCAGGAGACAAAGAGAACTCTGAAGTCCATCAGGGCTACGGACCGGAAGACCTATACAACTGGAAGAAAACTAGCCCAGGTACACTCAGCTCTCTGGTCACTGACAGGCTCTGGGGCTACTCTCTTCCCACCCAAACAAAGAGGTCAGAATATGCAGCCTGGAATTGGTGGTAGAACGCTTTGCAGGAAAACTATGGGACAATGAAAAATGTTTGTGCTCCTATGAAGGAAAGTGCTGAATACATCCAGGACCCCGATTGCTCTGTGTTAAGAAAAAGAACACTATCATAATTTTGGCAATAAAGGAGAAATATTATCCTGATTTGTTAAATTTTTCCTGCTAATTTCAAGATGCTTCTTACATTACTTGAAATGCTTATAATCGAAGTTTATGTTAATCTACTATTGATTCAACCTCTGTGTTAATCAAGTTTATCAAATTCATTTTCTAAAATTGCTGTCCCTTTTTACCCTTGTAGTGCAACTCCAAAGCTTCCCAGATCACAACTCCTTCATAACCAAGCAGGCACAGCTTCTGAGTGCACACTGGTATCCTGTCGGTCTATTCCCATCTTCTGTCAAAGCACAAATTAATAGCTTCCCTTTTTAAATTATTTTTTCTTTTCATATCTCCATATTTATTTCAGATTGTCTCATATTTAAAAACCTTTCTCCTCCTTTCAGCCACAATGCATTTCTCTCCTAAAGAAGTGACTCCAACCTCCATGTGCATAAACACAATGATCCCTTATCATAATTGCTTTCTTGGTGTGACTGTATTGTTGTGACACATCAGGTGACTATTTACTGACTTAGAGAAATTGCATAGCCAAATGATTAAGAATAGGCTCAGGAGCAAAACTGTCTGGGTTCAAATCTGGGCTCCGCCACTTATTGCTAATTAACCTTGGTCAAGTTATACATCTTTGCTTCAGTGGCTCCATCTATAAATTGAGGTGATAATAACACCTATTTCACAGTTATTTCACAGATTCAATTAATTTATACAAGCAAATCACTTAAACTAGAACATAGTAAGCACCTGATAAATGCTAAAACTTTATTTTATGGATGTCTGTTACATTATCCCTGTAGAGACTGTCTAATCTCAAGTACTACCATTTGAGTACACCTTTTATGAATATTTCTTAAATGTTTACTGGACATGTTATTCTTCATCGAGGGAGACACAAATGACTTATAAACTCAAAATGTATAATACAGAAACCCTGAATCTGAATCTCTACTCTGGAATATGCCTAATCTACCCTGAATGCTGGTTCAGGGCAGGCTATGGAGTTACGTAACCTAGGTCAAATCCTGGCTCTCCCATTCTCTGTCTGCATGACACTAAGCAATTTAGATTACCACTCTGTTTCTAAGTTTCCACAGCTGTAAAGTGGAGAATAATATTAGTATTGACCTCATAAGATTAATATGAGGAATAAAAGAGTATATGTAAAGGATTTAAAAGTGTGTGGCATGTAGTAATTATTTAGTAAACATTGTTTGTTGTTTTTATTTCCTCAGTGCTAATTTTTCCCACTGAGTTGATTGAGTGACTAATGACCAGAAGTACTTTGAAACATGTAGGAAGACAACCTAAATATTTATTATTCATATTACCTTACGTGATGTCTGAGACTCAACAAACTCTCCTTGTTCTCAGACTCTCTTACTCAATGGAGGTCAGTATAATACTTCTTAATAGGCTCTTTAAATAATTTTTCTAAACAAATTTGTACTAATATGCTACAGGTAAGAATTCTTAAAGTGACAGTGAGCAGGGCATGTACCCACGGCTTCAATAAGGAAAATGGCACTGAAAGGAATCTTCCAACTGTGGTTCTGAATTCAAGATATAAAAGCCTTATAATTTGCTTCTGTAATTAAGCATGTCTTCCAGTGGTGGAGTATCTAGCACTGTTTAGTAGAAGTAAGTAGAATGAAGATTCCACAGTTTTATTTGTAGTCCTGTACCTTCCCTATAATTGTCTTATAGGGAATGATCAGTATAAACACTACCTTCCTGCCCCCATTTACAAGTCCCACCTGCAATTTAACAATAGCAAAAGGTAAACTATAAAGGAAGCCATAAAAAAATCAAAATAAGTATATTTAAAGATTAATACCAATTCTTTATAAACTCTTCCAAAAAATATAGGAGGTAGGAATACTTCCCAACTCATTCTACAAGGCCACTATTACTAACACCAAAACCAGACAAAAGACATTGCAAGAAAACTACAGACCAATATCTCTTATTAATATAAATACAAAAAATCATTAACAAAATATTAGCAAACTGACACCAGCAACATAAAACATATGAAAAGTATTGTACACCATGACAAAAGGAGATTTATCCCAGAAATGCAACTTTGGTTTAACATCCCAAAATCAATCAAAAACAAAGTGGTAGACTCATACATCCAAATTTCAAAACATACTACAAATCTATAGTAATCAATAGAGTGTGATACTGGTATAAGGATAGACATACCGATCAATAGAATAAAATTAACTACAGAAATGAACCTTTATAAGAATGGTTAATTCGGTTCAACAAGGGTGCCAATACAATTGGAATAAAAAAATATTTTCAACAAATGGTGCTGGGGCCAACCTGATATCCACATGCAAAAAAAAAAATAAAGGTGCACCCTTATATTATAAAACCTACAAAAACCAGCTCAAAATGAATCACAGACCTAAGTGTAAGAGTTAAAGCATACAATTTCACAAACTTGCATAAAGAAATTCCTTCCTAGATATAACACCAAAATCATATGCAACGAAAGAAAAAATAGATAAATTGAATCATCAAAACTATAAACTTTTGTATTTCAAGAGACACTATCAAAAAGTGAAAAGGCAATCCACAGAATGGGAGAAAATATTTGCAAATCACATACCTAATGAGGTACCTGTATCTAAAATATATAAAAAATTTAAAACTTAATAATAAAAAGGCAACCCAATTAAAAAATGAGTAAAGAATTTGAATAGGCTTTCTCCAAACAAGATAAACAACTGATAATAACCACATGAAAAGATGCTGAACATCAACTGCGGTAAAGGAAATGCAATTAACACTGCAATGAAATGTCACTTTACACCCACTATGATGGCTACCATCAAAAAGACAGATAAAAACTAAGTACTGGCAAGGTTATGGAAAAATTTGAACCCCTGTACATTATTAATGGAAATGTAAAATGTTGTAGTCACTTTGCAAAACAATCTGACAGGTCCTTTAAAAGTTAAATATGTAGTTACCATATGACCCAGCAACTCTACTCCTAGGTATATACTCAAGAGAAATGAAAATATATGTTCATACACAATATTACACACAAATGTTCATAGCAACATTATTCATAACAGTCAAAAGGTGAAAACAATCCTAATGTCCATCAACTAATGAATGGATAAACAAAAATGTGGTATACCCATACAATGGAATATTAATCAGCAATAAAGAAATGATGTTCTTGTATATGATACAACATGAATGAACTGTGAAAATATTATCATAAGTGAAAGAAATCAGTCACAGAGGATCACATGTCATAAGATTCTCTTTATATAAAAAGTCCAGAATAAGCAAATCCATAGAGGCAAAAAGTAAATTTTAACTTGCCTAGAGCTAGTGGGGGAAGGGAGAAGCAGCAAAGAGGAATGAATGCTAATAGGTATAGGGTTTCTTTTGGGGATGATGAAAATGTTCTAAAATTAGATAGTGATGGTAGTTGCACAACTCTGTGGATATACAAAAAACCACCAAACTGAGTGTTAAAGGGGTAAATTGTATGGTATATGAATTATATCCCAATAAAAATTCTAAAATATCAAAATAAGAATCTTAAAGTCTTCGATTTATCTTTAAGGAGAAAATCCTGGTATCTTTTTCATTCAAAACTCATGCTTCCATAAACCTAGCTTATGAGATGTATGGAAACAAAGCTTGATGAATACTGTGCTTACCCTATAGTATACCTAAATATAAATGAACACATAAAAACATAAGTTTAAATAAATTTTTCAAATTTAATTAAATTTCTGTATATCTTATATAAAGTGACATAACTGAAGTCAGTTGAATATTTCCTGTTTACATAAGTGCAATATTTAAACAAAATAAGCTTGAAATTTCCCACCTGATTATCACATATCAATCAAACTCCCTTAATGCTAGTCACTTCTGACTAGTTGTTTATCAAAAGTACCATACACGTTATAAAAATTTTAGCTATTTTTAATTCTGTTTCTGAGCATTTCGAAATTTGCAAAGCTCAAATCAACCCTTGAAAGTGGGTGTCAGCTTATATGTTAAATAACCAACAAGAGGACAATTATGTATCCCTACTGAGAATATGCAGGTTTTCACATGGGCATATAATACATTGACTAAAGTAAAATTATTTCCAACACTTGTAATATTTCCTAAAGAAAGGGTCTGGAGGTGGGAATGGTTGTAAGACTTGTGAGCTTTCGAAGTTATAATCTTGTTTCTATGAGGGTTTTTTTTTTTTTACGTCTTTATTAGTACAGTTAAAAGAGCACTTATTCTGTTTATTAGAAAGGTTTATTTGATTTAAAAATCAGTTTGAAAATAACTCTCAAAAAATTACAGTTGACTGTTAATGTTTTTAGATCTAGCACCTTA